GCCTCTTTGAGGTGGTGCCACGTCCGTTTATGTGCTAGTGAGCCGGTGAAGACCATACCTAAACATAGAGGGATGTCTGGTGATCAGTTTCGTGCACGGTTTGGCAAATTTGATGGACGTTAAGTACATTAAATGCACCTGCAAAGGGGATGACCGAACCAGTTTTTCTGAAAAAATAAAGAAGATAATGAATAGTGACTAGACGACGCGTCGTTTGGTCCTTTTTTTTTTTAAACTCAAAACAGTGTCGTTTTAAGTTTTAAATAGGGATTTCTCTAGAGTTTAAAGCAATCCCCAACTTTTGATTTTATGCAATTGTATCTTTAATTGACCCAAACTTTTGATTTAATGCAATTACACCCTTGCTGAATTTCAATTGGAACCCCAAAGTTACGCGCCTTTTACAATATCATCCTTGGTCTCGGATTTTGTCAATTTAACTCCTAATTGACCATTAAACTTTCAATTTTTTCAATTTTCCCCTTGGTTTTTGTTAATTAAGACCCCCATAGTTTGTCGTTTGTTGCATAATGGTCCTTGATCTCTGATTTTATCAATTTAGCCCCTAATTAACCCCAAAACTTTAATTTTCTTGCAATTTAACCCCTAATTTCAATCAATTAACTTGGTAAAAATTAAATTTGGTTTCTTAAAATTCTAATATTCTCAATTATGCCTAAATTAGGCTCCCAAACTTAATGTTTCACCAATTAAGCCCCAAATAAAATTAATTTGACCCATTTAAAGTATACTTAAATCTTTGCACTTAATTAAATCCTTCAATTGCACCTAAATTAATTCTTAAACATAATTAAAATTTAATTTGATTCATTTAAAGTATAATTAAGTCCTTGCACTTAATTAAATCTTTCAATTGAACCCAAATTAATTCTTAAACATAATTAAAATTTAATTTAGCCCATGATTAAATCAAATTGGCCTATTAACCTATTAAAAATTTAATTATGTCATTGGACTTAATTTTTATGTGAATTTATCCAATAATCATTTAATTTAACCTTGAATTTGTATTTTTTATCCGTTCTTGGGCATAATGGGGTATAATTAAACCTTGAATTTCCTCTAAAAATTGCAGCTTGATTTTCCTGTTTGCTTTCTCCACGTTGCCAGCCATTATTTTATTTATTTTTATTTTTATTTTGACAAAAAAATGAATTTTTAGGGAGTAACCTTAAATTGGATTACAAATTCCATGTGCTACAAGGAGTGCAAGATTAATAAAATTTTTAAAGTTGTTAAGGAAGAGAGTTTAACATCATTCTTTATGGGCAAAGAAGAGGAGGTGTATTGGCAACAAATTCTTCTTCAAATTTCTTCTTCAAATTCAAGGAGATAAAGATTCTCCTTCAATTCCAACGAGATTATAGATGGCAAATTTTCTTGGATTTGATATAAGAAAATAAAAAATGGCTACTAAACATTATTTAAACAGGGAATCTAACTTGTTTTTATTTTTTTTGGTTCTTTAAAATTTATAATCCTATATAAACTTGTTGTTTAGGATTTAGTTTTTTCTTTGAGCTGACCATAGCCACAACAACCTTGATTTTTCTCTTAGTATGTTTAATTGTTTAAACATTGGGTTTGCTATTTTATAGGTTTAGCTGGTTTAGCTACAATAAATTATTTAGGCTTAACTTATATTTAGTTTTAATTATTTTAGCTATAACTCAAAGCTTGTTTGAGTTCAAATCAACCCATTAGGGATAGATCTATTAGGGTATTTTTGCTTGGAGAATAAAAACTCATTGTAAGATACTTTTTATGTAGTTTTATGATCAATATTGCTTCTAAACTATTGTTCTTTAATGTTGAGATGATTTCTTGTATTCTTTGATTTTTTAATAAATTAAATTAACTTATCAAAGATTAACTAGTTATGTGGTGTCTTTTTTATACTTCTTATTTATGAATAGATATTTGTAGAATGAGGGTCTAATTTGCACTTGAAATTTTTTTATATAAAAAAATACGAAAAAAAAATCTACATATTTAGTTTTTTTAAGAAACGACCCACAATAAGGCTAATCATGATCGGAGCAAGCTTGAAAAATAATTTTAAATTCTGAAATTCCAACCTACCTTGTGATGGGGTGAAATTCTAGTCGTGGAAAGTCACATGGTTATGATTAAAATATATGTTTTGAGTTATTATAGAAAAGTAAATTTTTAGTATTATATCACATTATACTGTTGGTGAAAATGAGTTAAATTGCTACTAGTGGCTAAAAAACAAAAATTATGGGTAAAGACATTGGTGACATTTCAGTAAAACTTGATTTCAGGAAGAAATGTCACTCTCTCTACGAGAAGACGAGACTAAAAAAGATTACCCTATTGCAATTTATCAAGTGATGAATGAGGTCCAACGCATTTCAGGTTTGGTGCTTGATAATGTGATTTAAACTTTCAACAATCTTTATCTTTTCTATCATGAAGCATTAAATAACTAAACGTTACCAAATCTTATTGCAATCTTATTGCATGGAATTGCCGTGGGGCTGGAAATTCAGATTTCCGTATGCGTGTTCATGAATTTATGTGAGGAAAATAAAGAGAGAAACACTAAAGATGATAAAGAGAGGGTGAGAATTTGGGAGTTTTTGCAATGGATATAAGACTGTGTTTTTGAAATAAAAGAGCTTTTTTCATCCCTTCTAGTGTTTCTAAGCCACTATAAATGATTTCTCCCACCAACATCCCTGATGGTTTCCAACCTTCTTTTCTATTAGAAGTATTGGCATCTTATTGGTGATTCTTTGTTTCATATGGTTAAAAGATGCTTTTGAATCTGGTTGTTGTCTTTCCAAGCTAGCAGATACGCTATTAGTTTTCATTCCAAACGACCCAATCCAGTGATCATGAAGCAATTCCGTCCTATAAGTCTGTGTAACGTTAGCTACAAGATTCTGACCAACTCCTAGTGAATCGCATTCTTCCCTTTTCTGGATTTGTTGATTACCCCACTTCAGGGTGCCTTTATCTCTTGCAGACAATATAGTGCTTTTGCTCAGGAACTGCTTCATGCCATTCGGAAATCTAAGAAGAAGTTGGGTAGCGTTCCTATAAAAATTGATTTGGCCAAGGATTATATATGATTAAGTGAAATGCGCTCTTTTTTTAATTTTTTTTGTTAATAGTCGAAATTTTATTAAGAAAAAAGGCTACAAAGATAATAGCCTAACTTACATAAGATGAAGCAGACATACTATGATTTTAGATTTATGGTTTTGTATGCGAATTTGATCATGTCGTGTGTCTCTCAATCCCCTCTCTCTCTATAATGTGGAATGAAGTTCGACTTTGTCCCTCTACTCCTCTTCGAGGCCTCCGTCAGGGAGATCTTTTGTCTCCATACTTATTTGTGTTGTGAATGGAGAAATTGGCGATGCTAATCAAGGCGAAGTGGAATCTAGACCCTGGAATCCTGTGCCGTATCTCATGGGGGTTTATCTATTTCTCATTTGTTAAAAGCAGATGATGTCATAGTTTTCTCCAGTGCATCCACTAACTGTCGAGTTGTCCATAACTAGATTTTATGCATGTTCAGGTATGGTTGTTAATGCTGATAAAACTAAGGCCTTCCTTTCTCCTCACACTCATAGACGGCATAAAGAGGAGCTGAGTAGGAGATTTCACACGAGTTTTACTGCGGACATGGCGTAAGAGAAGGATTCTTTCCTTCGAGTGTTTGTGATGAGATTGATAGCCTTGCATGCTAGAGGATTTTTGTAGGGTACTCAGAATTCTGGCGACGGCATTCATCTTCTAATCTGGGAAGCCCTTTGTTCTCCTAAAAGTCGAGCCGGTTTGGGCTTGTGTCAGGCTAGGAATAAAAATATTGCTATGTTGGGTAAGCTTGAGTGGCATTTCTTTGAAAATTCGGATAAATCATGCGTGCAACTGATGCGGCAAAATAACTTCACAGTGAGAATATTTTTACTCATCTCCTTCCTCCTTCTGCTTCTACTATTTGGAAGTCCATTTGCAGGGCCATTCCTTTTGTGCGTGAGGGATACAAATGGAGAATAGGTTACGCTCAGCAGGTTTCAGTGTGGTTTGATAGATGGGTTGAAGATTTTCCTCTGTACTCTTTGATTCCTCATACTGAGGAAGAGCATAAGTCTCTAATGGTCGCTGAGTTGATCTCATACCTAGTAATAGTAAAAAAAAAAAACTCTAATTTTTATTCTCAATCAAAACTTAATATTACATCTCTCCCTGTTAAGTTAATTAAAAGAATACAAAAATATTTTGAATAAGAAAAAATATGACCAATCCTAAACAATAACTTTTGAATCTAATTTGGACATTTACCAACCTCGTATAATTACGAAAATCTAGTCTATAGGAAATAGGGCTTCAGAAATCTCGTACTAAATTTTGGCATGATTCAGTTTGAAAGTTAAAGTTATGCTTGTATTTATCAGACGTCTTCTACATCAACCGGCATTCTTCATGGAAGTTGAAAATCCATCAAAATTTGCGGGTGTTCTAATAGAAAATTGAGTGGGATCTGCTTCCTATGAATTAGGTGTTTCCACCTTAGCAAACCGTTGAGCCCCACTCCGGATACCATGTCAAAATCAATCCATTACTTGAATATTGTCCTAAATGATCCATTAACAATCAAAGGTGTTTGATATTGAGATAATCCATTAATTATCTCCGTTCATCTTGAGTGGTCTAATTTTTTCTCCCTTATTGTATCTTATAAAGTCTTCTGACTTGTAAGAAAAAAAGCATGAAATTTTTCAGAGAAGAAGCTACATAAAAGTAGTCACAGGTCATCATATCGTCGATGATCATTACAATAAAGGAAAAATGACTGATATATTGAAAGATACTCAAGAAAGCAAAATAGCTTTGTCTCGTTAAAGCAAAGCCAATTCCACATCATTGCTCATTGATATAAAATGTATCCATACAACAAATATTATAGGCATAGATAGAGATTACACCACAACAATATACCTATAATATTTCCTATATAAATACATTCTATAATACTCATACATATAACAGAAACAAAAACAAAATGGATCAAAGAGCCTGTCTTTCACCGAACCACAGTGATTGACTAAATACCGTACGATAAACCAAAAGCAGTGCCCGTCGTAGAAGGATGAAAACAAACAAAAACAAAATATCTTGATGAGCTCCATAATTTTTAATTATGATCAAACTCAAACTTTATTAGATATAATCCATCTTGGAAGGTAGCGCTCCCTAAAACAACTTGGTCACTAATGATGATGAGGATCTGGTCCTCCTGGTGAAATTCTATCAGAGACATCACCAAGAGTAGACAACCTTCGATAATGCTCAAGTTTGGCGAGATCAAAACCTAACTCGAGCAAAAGGTGGCGGCTATTATTAGCATTTCCTTGCAATGCTTGACCCCCCTTGAGGATACGTGCCTCTGAAGTCAAGAACATTGCTGAGAATAAAACCATTAACAAAAGTATCATTGCCCTTGAAGTTGAAGCAACTCTGCTAGCCATGTACTAGTATATGTTAAGAGTATAACTAAGTTTGGGAAGAAGGGTAACAAGCTAGTTTTGAAGTACTGGCCAATAATAGCTTGAGCTTCGAAAGAAGAAAGTAGTAGCTTCCATGGAACATAATTTCATATTTATAGGACAAAATCTAAGACCTGAGAGATTGACATGGGACAATGTTTAGTGGAGAGAATGTGGAGACCGACAAAGTCCCTCCAAAGCGTGATTGTCGTCTACTTCATAGAATAAAGCCTTCTGTTTTTTTATTATGTATCTCATCTTAACGTTTATGTCCCATTCCATAGTCTTTTATGCAAAGCATCTCCTTCTGAAAATGATAAGGGGAAGGTCCAGTCATCTGTGCTTGTACACTTGGTTGGATTTTAAAGTAAGAAAATAACAAATAATACAAGAAGAAGTAATGTAAAGGTCAACACATGTATGCCAAAGGGTTTGTTTTCTCTCAGTAGCGGTCTGATCCTATTGATCATTTGCAAAAAAACAGTAGAGTCACATGGGATCGATGTTGGATGAGTCTAAATGCACATGGTTTGCATAAAAAAGGATAATCGGATAGTCTCTTTTGTTGTTTGGATCCAAATGATATATACTAGCTGGTTATCTAAAAATAGAATCGATCGACCAAATGGAGAAGTGACTTTTGCCTAGAATCATCTTTTTGAGCAAGAAATTTTCCTCCTTTGATTTACTAAGTTTTATAACCTAAGATTCGTTTGGTATCATTTTCAATTTTCCTTAATTTGAAAATGGAAACAAAAGGAATCGTTTGTTTTGATGTTTTTTTCTTTATTAAAAAGAGTAAGAAAAAAACTTACAATTTGAAAAACACTTTATTTGGTTTTAAGATTTTTTTGACAAACCATTATTTTTTTTATGTGTTTTAAGATTACTTGTTTTTGTTTTAATTAGTGTTTTTTTTGAAAAAAAATACCAAACAACCTAATAATTTCTGAGTTATCAAATTTGTCATTAACTAGTAGATCATACCCTAAAAAGAAGAAAGAAAAGAAAATAAGGAAAAAGAAAATCATCAATAAATTCTGAGAAAGAGGACTTTTTCATTGCTTGCTTTGAGAAAAATACAAAAGAACATATTTATTTCTGAATTATGGAATTTTTCATTAACTAGTAGATCATACCCCAAAAAAGAAAGCAAAACAAGGAAAAAGAAAAAGAAAAATCATCTACAAATTTCATGGCTTGCTTTGATCAATTAAGATTATAATATTCATTTCTTGTAGTGAAAAAAAATATGTGTTATAAGAAAAATATTATAATATAAACTAAAATATTTGAAAGATATTTTACTGTTTATACAAATAATGAATCATCTCATAATGTTTTTAGAAAGATATTTTACTGTTTATACAAATAATGAATCATCTCATAATGTTTGTAGTTTTTTTTTTTTTTACTTTCTTTTAAAGCACCTCTAAAATCTATATATATATATATATTCACCTCTTATTTTTTTTCTTGAATTTTTTTCTCATTTAATTTCATGAGATAAAGTTTTAAATTGTAGTAGAAAAATTAGATTAAAAGAGAAATGACCACAGTATAAAACACTAAAACAATACATTACTAATTTCATTTTAGAATTTTGACTTTGATTCAAAAACTTATTTTGCTTATTGTTCATTTATCGAGTTTAAGAGAAAAGAGAGAAACTAGTCAGATAAAAACATATAAGAGATAAAGTTATTAGTTGTCCACATCACAATAGCTAGTAGATCAAAAGTAAAATTTTTTTCTTTGTTTGATTTTGTGTTTAATTTAAAGATGTTTTAAGTTGATAAGTTGGTTTAAGAGTTTTTAAGTGAAAATAGGTTAAAAACAAAAAAATTTAAAAGAAAAATTAGAGTTAGATATTTGCATAGACATTTATCTTTTACTTTAAAAGAAAAAAATAACTTTTCATTTTAATATTTAATTAGTATTAACAACTTTTTCTTGGTTCATCCGCTCTTATTTTTTTAATTTATTTCATTAAGTGTAAACAATATGTTTATGTGTTTTAATTCAAAAAATTATAATACTTAAAAACATATTTTCATAATTATATTAACAAATTTTTTTTTATTATATTTAAAATTAATTTAGAATTCTATTTGTGACATAGCATAACTGATAAAACTAGTATATGCATACTTAACCTAATCTCTTTCTTTCTTTTATATATAATAATAATAATAATAATAATAATAATTGATAATATATATAGTAAAAGGCTAGTGTCAATGCAGACAAGCTAGCACCAAAGAATTTAGATATAAATATGTGTGAAGAAAAAGAAAAAAAAAGGTACAGAGAAAAGATATATAGGTTAAGAAAATAAAGCCAATAAAAATAGTAGCCTAACTACTTTATCCAAATTAAGGAACCTTCTAAACTTTTAAATAAATTTAGAATTGTGTAAGAAATTCTATTAGAGGACTTTAACCATAAAGTTTAAACGATGTAAGATATTAGCTGAAATACTGAATTCTAATTTGGTTGCTCATTATGAAAATTAAAAGATTTCTTGTCAACCAAATACCCTCATAAAATACCTTGAACTATGTCAAAGAATCAATTTAACTTAAAAATTCTATAATATAATTTATATTATTTTCTAACATACTCTCTCAAGTAAAAGCTATTTAGACTTAAAACTTGCATATACCTACATTACTTTATACTTAATTTTTATTAAATAAATAGGAATGATGAGATTCAAACACGTGACCGCTTGGTCATCAAAACTCTGATATCATAACAAAGAACTAATTCAATATAAAAATTTGAACTGTTAGGTGAGATTTCAATATATAATTTATATTATTATCTAACAAATCAAAGCAAATAAGGTTTTTTTGTTGAAACTTGCCTCTATTTGGATCTTCCACTGCATCACGAGAGATTCCAAGAATTTTAGCATACACCATTGCAAACCTATCCAGAGAATGAAGTGATTCCATATTTTCTAAGTTTCATGGAGAAAAAAAAATGCTCAGTTGTTTCTTTTTCTGAGTTAAAGAAGGGACAACCTGCTGAAAGATTGTCAATAAAATCCTTCTTGCAATGAAATCGTTGACGCTTACCCTACCATGCAATAACAGCAAAGAGAATACTTCAATATTTGGTGGTAATATACTTTCCCTTAGAAGAGGAGAGAAAGACGATACACATACATAACGAATTCTATCTAAAAGATTGTTGCATGACTTCGACCGAGTAATTCCCACTTCTCTCAATATGCCAAACTCTTTTTGTCTTCATGTTAGTGATGTAATTCAACAATAATTCTTTTTGTTCACATCTACGCCAATTTTTACTAGCAACCTTAGAAGATTGTTATAGTCACTAGATTAAAAAATAATTAAAAATGCACTCCACATACAATCATGGCCACTGTTTAAAAATGCCACTACAATATAGTCTTGCAGTATTGCATTATTTTCATCAATAAATATTGTTGTCAGACAATTTCACTAAAATTTAATCCAATTGTAGTGAGACACAACACAATCAGAGGGGAACAAGCCATGTTCTGAGAAACCTATTGGAAATCCTATATCAAGGCCGGTGGATTCTTTGGCAGTTTAGACGTTTGGCCAATTATAATAACCCTATGATCATTTGGCATCTGCGAATAGACATTGCCCCTTTAGATCATAAAACACCAATGCCTTTCAAATTTTCTAGTGTTGATTCTTGTACTCATCGTAAAAGTCATAGCTACAAGCCCTAACTGTATACCTTAAAATTCTTGGGTAGTTAAATCATGATGACAGGAAACTGACGAGTCCTCCATTCATAAAAGCTTATATGATAGGGCATCGCCATACTAGGTTTTGATGCACTGGCAATTCTTTATCTATATTGATCATTAACAAATAAATTAAAGTTATCATGCACTGGCGGCGCCAAATTATAATGCAAGCTATGAATTGCCTTTTATTTTTGTATAAACTTTACCCGCGCAATGCATATTCAATAATCTGAAAGGCGTACGTGGCTTCATGTAAGGTAGTGTGACTCTACATGGATTTGCCCTAGCTAGTGAGGTTCATGTGGTGATGAAGAAGGAAAAACATTACCTTTTTAGCGATTAATAAAGCTGCACCCAATGCAGTACCACGAGAAAAAGAGGAGCACAATGTAGTGGATGACTTACACAAGATGTGTTAATTTGTTGTCATATATGTATGAATGTGGGAATGGATACTTAATATCATTAAAATGGTAGATTTAGTTTCGATTTTCAAATAAGGTGGGAATGGATACTTAATATCATTAAAATAGTAGGTTTAGTTTCGATTTTCAAATAAGTTAATATATATATATAAAAGTCGAATTAACAGGCATTAATATATATATATATATATATATAAGTCGAATTAACAGGTTGCATACATGCAATGTTATCGAGAAATTATATTCAGTGGGCAAAATTATGGTTAAAAGTGAGGCTTCGACTTTCAATGATATCGAAGCAAAGGTTTGATACATTGAAAACGTTTTAGCCCTAGCTAGCCACTGGTTTGCCTCATGCCGTGGGTGCGTGCTCTTCCATCTCCTCAAAACTGGGTGTCTTCCTGTGAAGGTAATTTTTGAGGGTTGACAAATACATGAATAAAATCTAAACATACTTTTCTTTCAGGATAGAAATCCTTGAGATTTAAAGAAAAACTCAGAAACCAATCACCTGAAAAAGCCAGCTATCCGTATTGGAATACAACAGTATTTTAATTATTTGGCCTCTATCACCATTGAAGCATCAAGATTCTAAATACTGATCTCTGTCTTCCACTCATGCGCACACGAGCAGCACTACAGACAAGGGATGATTTACACTTAGATAGACCTCTAGAGAGGATATGTATATTGGAAACCTTGATTTGATGGGTCAGCACATTCTTTTCCGACCACTATTGCCCATGGGAAAAAGCTTTGACACCTAGTTTAGGCAGGCATTTTAAACTTTCGGCGTGCATGAATGTCTAATTAGTGGATATATCCAAATGATATTTCTCTGGTCATAAATATGCAAATGATTTGATTTAAAAGAAATAATAG